CCCAGCGTGATGGTACTGTACCTCATGAGTGAACTTGTCTGTTGTGGGTTTTGGGTGTATTAATGGGCTAATTGGGGGAAAAGGTAAATACTACTACTACCTGCTGAAGGCAGCGATCCGGTGACCAGTTCGCCGGTACCCCACGAGAAGATACAATGACGATTGGAAGCGTTTCTTTTTGCTTGTTGGTGGTAGTAGTAGACTCTGATTCCTCATCTGGATTAAGGTAAGGTTAAAAAAGAAGGCTGGGGATCTTTGTGGGAAGTGGCACGATGGTTTCGTCGCACGCTTTGCGCCCTGGCCGATTCGATTGATGGAGGGTCCTTGTTGGTACGGTGCTGAATGTGCCCAAAGCTTCATGGTTTTTTTTTTATTTCTTTTTTTTTTTTTTCGAAACCCCTCGGGGGGCGTGTTGCTGTTGGTCGCTGGCACACATCATCACATCATCAAAGTCGCCGGTCTGAAGGGTCTATGATGCACGAATACATAATTTGGCCGAGATGAGACGTGGTCAATGCTATCTAGGTAAGTCCATGTAGTAGCTTGAAAGTCAAAGATGCAAGAGGGTGCGAGCAGAAAAGGGTCCTACATACCTAGGTACTACTACTATCTCATGACCAGCGCTATTAGCGGGCTCACCGAGTTCAGCAGCTACTCGGAATCAATGGCTGGTTTTGATGCCGTCTCTGGTTGCTTGGCTAGTAAATATGCAGAGATGTTGTATGAGCCTTGGGAGATGATATCGTACATGTATGCTGTTGAGGACAAAGCGCGGAATGCTTCTCCTTGAGGCCCGTCACGAGAACGATCATTTTGGCAGCATCATCATCTCCATCAACTCTCCGCACCACACTTCCTATCAAGACATCTGCAAGATCAAGCCAATACGAGGGCAAAAGCAATCCGCCGTCAAGGGATCTATACCGTGTCGATCCCGACGTGCAGCGTCCACGTACTGTCTGTCTGTCTGTCAGTACATGATACGGATCTGCCCTCCAGCGAGCGGGAAAACGCCCACTTACACCCAATTCGCTCCATCACGCCTCCATCTATCCATCCATTCACAAAAGAAGAACACACACGCCCCCTCTTCTTCCGCCACAACAAGCTAGAGAGCAGTTAAAGCAGTTAAAGCAGCAGCAGCATCATCTCAACCACCAAAGTCAAAACGCAGATCTGGGCATCCCTCTAGAATCTGCGTCTTTGACTTGTTTCCTTAGCCCGCCACTTGAGCCTCAGCTCCGGATGTCGCCTCCGGGCATCGCCCTTGCAACTCAACTTAAACTCCCAACAACATTAGCAAGATGTGAATGGCCTCAACTAGTACTAGGTAGTAATAGTACATAGCCGCCCTCGGTAACTGCGCTGGTCCACGTGGAAAGAAGTTGAGTCGGGCAGCGGTCTGGGAGAGCGCTAGAGGACGGCAGCCAGCCAAGGAATTGGGCAAGTTATTACGAGGACTTTGCAGCATGCATGTCTCAGACAGGCAAAAGGTGGCGTCGTCCTCCGTTTACAAGTAAAAGAGGAATATACACCTACCTACTACTACTACCTATAGTACAGGAGGTAGAAAAACACACTTTCCCTTGTCCTGTCAATCTCGGAGCCTGGCGTCTGAAGCGGTGGCTGGCTTCACTTCGGCCCTGTTGGGTCCCAGATGCAAACTGACTTAGAAAGGCGGCGTCCAAGCTATTTCCTTGATCCGACAAGTTTTGTCTTCTTCGCTTGGGGATCCTCCAAGAAGATGCGTCGCTCACTCTCCGTGGCTTGCGGATCGAGAGGTGCGCCACTGTGTGTGTCACACGCCCGCCCATCTATGTACAGCACTTTTGCGTTCTCGTAGGGTAGTGGATGGGGATGGATGCTCTCTTGACAACAAACGGCAATACCCCGTAGCTTGCTTGTTCCCCTCCCAGAAGAACGCCAGAATCGAGCCGTGAGAAGAAGTCTGGGTGATTTGGCCCGAGACATGGCACACTAACACACGTCCCCCTCGTTATTACTCGGACAAGGTTAATCTTCTCTCCCCTTTTCGTCGGGATCACGGGGGGAAACAAGCGGCACAGAGAGAAAGAGGGAGAGCAAAAGTAAGAACAGCCGGGCTGGCACAGCATCATGCTGCCTTATCAGTTCCATGTTCTGTGTATGCATGTATGTATGTATGTATGCGTGCATGCTGTTTACCACCAAGGAAACGGTACGGGTAGCACAAACCCTCTTGTGCTTCATGCTTCGTGCTTCGTGACTCCACAGGCCCATTCCCGGGATCTCGACTTGCTCTACTACAGTACATACTAGTAGTAGTATCAAGGGCAAGGAAGGTGACGGATGATGCTATTATTGACTTGATTAGAGTGAGCATGTTTTGAGAAAACCGGCTTGCCCACACACACACACCCCCTTCTGCTTCTGCCTCTTCTTCTGCTTCTCCCTGCCGTATGTATGTATGTCTCTGGGCATGGGACGCATGCGAATCCGGGCAACGCAAAGAAACAGGCCACTCCCTCTTATGTCTCTCCTTTCTTTTTTTTTTAAATTTTCCGGCAAGCGTTGTCTGACCGCTGATTGTTACTCTTTTTTCTGCGTCTTGGGTAGCCCTACGTTGAAATCGGCGATGACGATGATGGTGATGATGATGAAATGTTTGCCCTGCTTTTCTTTTCTTTTCTTTTCTTTCTTTTTTTTGGGATTCCCTGATTTGTGCTGTGCTGTATATGAGACCTTTTCGTATACTACTACTACTGCGGCTGCAGAAGCCCATGTGCATGGTGCTTGATGGAGTACAGTATCCTCTCCCTTACTCTCCGTAAGGTAGGTATTCTTGGACAAAGTCACGTTGGCCGTCGAAGTGTCTTGTCGGGGCACACAAACCACAGAGAAGAAAGCTCGGGATTTGCGTGAATCCCCCCGTCCCGGGTTCGTGATCGGCAGCTGTCTGGGCCTTTTAGGCGCAGGAGACTTTGATAAAGATCCAACTTGTGTATGTACATACATACATAATAACGAAGTGGCGACGCGGATCATGTTCATCGTGGAGGTTTTCGGTTGCAGTGGGCGTTGGGTGCTGGATTCGGGAACGATCTGATGAGCACAAGACGGGACGACATTCATCATTGAGGCAACTTTTTTGTGATTCATGCCTTGATTTCACATGGATTCGCTTTTTTTCTTCCATTCGGCACATGGTATTCATATTTTTTTTTTTTTTTTCAGCTGGACGGGAAAGTGGGCAGCCAAGAGAAGAACACGAGATTAATACTTCACTAATCGATTTGATCCCCTCGAAAGTATGCAGAGAACGTAGCCCCGGTAAACGTTGTTGGACCTCTGCGCAACCGTCTTCGTCCAAAGCGAGGGGCGTGTTTTCCCCAAGTATCAAACTTGAATATGTGAGACATCTTGTTTCTTGCGTTAGTACAAAGTTTGTGGTTCAAAGTACTCATGTGCTGGCACCTGGCACTGCTCAACAGATCAGGTGTATTAACGGACCAAATTTGAAGCATCCGTCATGGTATTGAGAATCCAAATACTCGTCTAGGAGAAACACGAGCCATGAGATTGCTTTGATCCGTCGTCGAGCTTTGTTATGCTTCTCCTCTCGGAGTAAAGAAGAAGCAGGCATCCATATGATAATCACGATTTCCATCCCGAGCAACACAGGACGACAAGCATTGTATGTCTCTTCTAAATAAAGACTCCGTACAACAGAATAAAACAAGATTGAAGACAAAAAGACATTCTTACACACTCCCTGCATCCGGGAAACAAACCCATGAAACCCTTCCCCCGGAAGAAAAAAAGGGAAAAAAGGAATTCATCCACAAGTTAACATCACGATCGTGATCATGAATCATGAATTCATCCATATAATCCAAAATCCCGATCTTAAAGGGGAACACAACGGCACGGAACAGGTTCCGAAGGGATCAATCAATCTCCTCCCTCCCTTCTGTATATACCTACAGAGTACATACATACATACATACATACTACATAGAAACCGCCTTTACTGGACCTTTTCTGTCATGCGTTGGTGATGAAACGGCGCGGAAGCAATGTGACGGGTGATGAAAAGCATGCAGAACCGCCAGACTAGTTCCCCAAACCAACAAAGATACATACCCTGGAGAGCAGAGAGCGCCAACGAAAGGGGCAAAAAAAAAAAAAAAAAAAAAAACCTCTTATTTGCATAGACGTTGAGTGGTATTTAAAACCAAAAAAAAAAAGGCGGAAGAGGCGGGTAGGATGCTGATGAAGATTTGGAATCAAACTCGGTTTGCAGGGTATCTTGACAAATACCCCAAATTGTACGAGAGAGGGAGTGCTGAAAGCCTCACATTCACGATTAATGACTTGACTTATTGCCAGGTCTTTCATGTCAACCAGCATCAATCAAAGCCATGCCACGCCCAGACAAAGGACCAAACTCATCTTCTCCAAGTCGCATCATCCGCCATCCTTTTCACGCAACAGAGAGACGTCTGCTGAATATTCACGAGATAGAGATGCTTTCAAATTGTATAATTCATATTCGATACCAAAAGACTTGCGCTCGTCCATCATATCAGATACCCACCAGACCCGATTCTAACCACCCGAGCCCTCCTGTTAAAAGATGAATACCGCCCTCCCAAAAAACAACCAAAGGAAAGAGGAACAAGCCCGCTGTCGTAACCAATATTTTTGAAACTGTACAGTATTCGCAATGCCCTTTCCATCGCCATCCACATCTTTCGGTCTCCTTTCCTCGCTCAACGTCAATGTGTCAAGTATTGGGACGAACGAGCACGACGCTCAATCCGCCGCCGTCCTGGTCCTCAACTAGTCCCTGCACGAACGTGACCTCCCACCTCATCAGAGCACATATTCTTCTCCCACCAGCTGTCGTCACTCTTGTCGGACTCAATGCCGCCCTCGCTTTTGAACCTTCGCACGCCATCATAGCTCTCATTGGGATTGAAAGAGCAGGCAAACGTTGGGAGACGCCCAGGGTAACGCTCCTAGAATGCAATCGCCCTCTCCAACTGGTAGACCGCAGTCCTGGCTCGCTCCCTCACGTCGAGGTCCTTGTCATTGTGCTTCAGATGCTCCATCCGGTTGTAGAACCCCAGCTTCTTCAGCTCTGTTGCCCTCACCGACCAAGCCTGTCCCTCTCCCTCGTCATCCTGACCGGTAAGATTGATGATGAGGTGACAGACGGCAACGCGGACCTCCTTGTCCCTGTTGCTAATCTGCTGATATACCAGCCTAAGCAAGTCCGTCTGCCTCATGACGAGCTGTCGGTGCTGGAGCGTGCTGGCAGCTATGTGGACGAGGATATAGATGACTGGAATGATGATCTTGGCATGCGGGTGGATGAGCCTGGTCTCCTGTCCAGGGGTTGGGGTTCGTCGAGAGAAAGGGTGAAGCACTCTGGCTCGCAGTTTCGAGGCCAGGATATCAAAGAGCCGCTCTTGTCCAATGGTCCTAAAGAGGTAGTCAATCATCTCGGTGGTATCATACGGCGATTCTGCCGAGGCACCCACGCCGAGGCCCACCAGGTTTCGAATGAGCTCCAAGCCTTGTTCTTGGATCGCAATGTCGTCGCTCCGGGACTTCCTAGACGAGTCGAGTTCGGAGTCGCGTATGCTGGCGAGCTTGTCTTCTGCTTGACGTAGCTTGGTCGATCTTGAAGCATCCAGCTTTTGCAGGCTGCCATTCGCCGCAAACATCCACCGTACCTGTTCCTCGGATGGGGATGCATCCATTTCCTCGTCATCGTCGGCCAGCGCCTGCATGGCCTGCGTGCTATACGCGGTAGCCTCTTGACCGTCGTCGTGAATGACCTGCACTAGCCACTCTGGATCGAGCAGTTCCAAGCATGATCGCTTGACGTCGGGGCTCACGGCTATGACAAAATGCTTGAGCGCCCACAGAGCATTGAGCCGCAGGGCAGGGTTCTCAGAGTGAGCATGCTCGCAGAGGATCTTCATGACGCCGTTTTCAGCCAGGAGCTATGACCGTTAGCCTAGACTTGTTGCAGGGAAACAAACAGGACGGTGAACAATCCGGGAAGAAAGACGGGAGACGAGGCTCAAGGGGGCGGGTGACATACCTCACGAACTGGACTGGCCTCCAAGACCAGGTTACAGATAGCAGCCGTGGCCGCAACCTGGACATCAACATCCGGATGCTTCAGGAATTTGAAAATGGGCATGGCAACGGAGTGGTCAACCAAAGTCGTCCGCAGGATGCTAATGGATCGCGAAAGCATCCTGATAACGTGGCAGGCCGCAACAATGACGGACAGCGGGTTGGCACCATATGCCGATGAGACGCTGGGCTGCGCTTCAGACTCCGGGGTAGGCTTGTCCTTGAGTCGATCCTTAATCTGCTTAGGCCGCTTGGGGTACTCATTGAGCGACTCCATCACATAAGGGATGAAGTCCTCATCAACCAGGGCTTTCCTATAATCTTCTTTTCCGGAAGCGACAGCGCCAATAGCTTTGAGCGTTGACTCCCTGAGCCGCACACGATGAGAAAGCAGGGGGTCTTGACCGGCCTCGCCTAGTCGTGTCGCGCTGGCCGGGCCTTCCACTTCCATATCGGTATCAGGTTGGGGTGACCAGTACTTGGCTGCCTCAGGGATGGACACGGAGCGGTAGGCGCGTCTTAAAAGCTTGGTCAACGTCTTGACGGCACCGCAGTCGTACGCAGCCTTCTGGAGGCGTTCGCTGTCAGTGATGAGGCGGGCCAATGTTGCCGGTGCCCGCTCCAGGATGAGATGCTGGGTCTCATCGAAGGAGCTTTGCGACTCAGTGTCATCCTTGTCATTCTTGGCAATCAAGTCAATGAGGATGGGCACGATGAGCATGCCGAGGGTGTTTTCCCTCCCTTCCTTGACCCCTAGACCTGCTTTGAAGAGAGAAGTAACAATTGTGGCCGCCATGAGTCTCCCGTAGCCGGTCAGGGACCTGGCCTGCAGTATCAGCCAGGGGATGAAGGGGCTCTCAATGTCCTCGGATGAGCCGTTTTCGAGGCTCGCTTCCAAGGCAGTGGGAGAGACGAATCTGGGCCCCGGCGTTTGACTCGGGGTTCGTGATTCAGGGCGATCTGGGGTGTTGACGGAAGATGTGTGGCGGGATTGGGGAGGGTTGGGAGCGGCGGAGAAGGGAGCGGGCAGTAGATGATCCATAGCCGTCTGATTCTGCACTTGAGAGCCGCTCACGCCGATAATCTCGAATGCAATATTTGGAAAGACGGCGAGAATGGCCGGGGAGTTAATCAGCCGAATTGCTCTGTATTTCGAGTCTCCGAGGATGGCCGCTATGGCGCCGAGAACGGGGCCGATCTGGGTTCCTTGCGGAGCTTCCTTGGGAAAGGCTTCGTATAAGCCGTCGCTATAGGCTTGCGCCTCGGCCCCCGGCACAACATGGCCCTGGCTGACGGCGAAGCTGGCCAAGCGCGACGCGAGCATATCCAAAACACCAGAGTTTACCAGAGCCTGCTGGTGCCGCTCCTCCCTGCAGATGCGAGATATCAAGCTGGCAGCTAGCTCCACCTGGGTCTGCTGCATGTGATTCGATGACGTTGTGGCAAGAATAAGGCACAGGGACTCGAGGTGATACGGCGACGTGAAGATGGTGTCGGCAAGAGCTGGGATATCCAGAGGGGACGACGGCGGTGCCAGAGCTGCCGCATCTGCAATGCTGGCGACGGCCTTGAGAGCGGCAACGACGATCTGAGGCGCATTGGCATTGGGTGATGTACAAGCGAGGATTGCAGGGAGCGCTCGGGAGGAGTGGATGGGTGGTAGGAAAGGAGGACCTCCTGCATTGGTAGAACATAGTCAGCATCTCGCTCTAGGATAACGCTTGATGATGGCGGGATAGTAGCCTTGGAATATCCAGCACAAGTCGAAGCAATAGAGCTTGAGACACATACCCTTGGCAAAGCTCGTGATGATCTGCAAGGCTTGCAGCCTCACCTTGTCTTCGTCTGGAAGGGTCCGGCGCTCAGAAGGCTGTGGCCTGGCATCCTTATTTGTAGTGTTCGCCTTGGCTGCAGGCCGAACCGACGTTAGAGTCTTGACGACGGGTTCCAGTACGCCCAAGCTGGCCCACGTCTCCTTCTTTTGGTGGTGCCCGACGATTTCATTCTTGAGCGCCTGTAGAGCTGCCGACTGCTCGGGGCATGTTGTGGCGTTCCGCAGCTGCGGCAGGATCGGTGAGGTCTGGGGGCGCGCCATGGCGATGGGAGTTCCGAGCAAGCAGCACAGGGGTACGATGGGATATGGCGGAGAGGGTCGAAAGAGCAAAGTGCCGGGATGTCGCCTCGGTTGTGTAATAGTAGGATTGGAATCAAGTCGAATCGGCTTGCTATATTTCGGCCTCTCAGCTAATCATGGATGATTGCTAGGGATGGCAACACTGAGGGAATCGGGAGCACGAAACAAGTGGGAGAAGGCTCCCGACGGATGCGGCTGAGGGCGCTGAAGACGGAGCCTCGTGAGACAGCACGAGCTTCTTTGCGCCACCGGGGGAGCAAAGATATGGCTTGAGCAACGGCGGCGTGGGCAATGCGCGAGAGGCGGGCAGCTCGTGCAAAAAGGGCAGAGGATGGACGATAGCAATAGAGGCACCGGCGTAAGCAAGTCTGCGATATCAATTCACGGGCAATTCATGGAATAGCAGGTCAGAAGCATCAGCGTTCGTTGCCTTTGCCGTCTGACGAGATGTCACGCCAAAGCAAGTCCGACGTCGTGGCACGTGCATGGTCTTATCTTATCGGATCTCTGGGGTTTAGGTACCTTCTGTACGAAGGTACCTTACAAGGCTATGTAAGAGCGATGCTGCGCCGCTGGTGTTGCTGCTTTGAACAAATGATGCCGGTGCTTGAAGCTGATGGAGAAAGTATCGTGAACAGTAGCGTAGAGATACGAGCCACACAGAGACTATATATAACTGGAGTCACAGCAGTTCTTAATGAATGTTACAATTGCTCAATCAAGATGCTAGACAATCTTGAAGTTTTCACAGCTTTTTGCAGTTGAACCCCGCCTTAATAAGAAGAACCCAGAGTCTCCACACCAAGATGAACAGCAGTCCGCTAAACTGGAGTCGATCTTGGCCATATAACGTATGGGAAGCAGTGGAAGGTAAAACGCTTCTAGAACATGAAGCCAGATGGAGCATTTTCCCTGCTGGCACTTGCAGGTGTACTTTTCTGCCTGCTCTCAACTGATTTCCCTCAATAATCTGAGAAGCCCTTAGGTAGGGAGTCGTTGCAATTCAGCGAGTAATACCGCATGCAGCAGTCTCTGACCAGCACATTATCAAGTATGTGTATGTAACAGCACAGGAGCAGCATGCTGTTCGTGCACGAGGCTGATACCTCAGCTACCTGGGTTATCATTGCGTGCATTGGTTAGGGCATTGATCTAGTGGTAGCAATCCGCTGTAGCGTCGAAAGAGAACTTAGGTATTCTGTGTGATAAAATGCTCCGCACGACAAATGACACAAGAGCATCTGCCGCATGCCTATCTGGGCCACGGACCTGGGCCACGAGCGAATCACCGAGCTTCGTTGAGCCACGAGCCGGCAGCTACAGGTGCTCATTGCACGACGGTCATCCACCAGGGCCAAGCAGACGACGACATGTCATCACTGTGTTTCCGTTCCATCAGCGGGCCTTTTCCTTTTTCTCGCTGGCGTGTTCTGGGGTTCCGGTCTGGGGTATTTGTGATGATGATGATGGAGCTCCGCCTGGAGACGTCTGCCATCGTGATGAGAGTCCACTTGTGATGAGACGGGACCGCCTTTTTGGGCAGCGAACTCTATTTGAAGCATGAACATGAGTCACAGAAACAAGGCGTCATAGAGACGGTCAAAGGGGGAGAGATGGCATTGAAATGGTAAGAACCGTGTGCCGTGTCGAAGCTGTAGGTATTGCTTGTAAGTACTGTCGCAAGGCATGTACATACTACCTTAGCTGGGGGGAACGGATGTTGCTCAAGGGCATGTCGATCACTCTATCGGTCCAGCAAGCGACACAGGGCAGAAAGATCTCCAGCTATTTCCAAAGGCGGTTGATGACTGACTTGCCTCTCTTTGTTTCTCTTCATCCACTCTCTCATTTTGCGCCCCATCCCCACTTACTGCATGAGGTACCGGTACATCTACTTTGAAGAAACTCCCGTCTTGGCCCGGGATAAGCCGTCAACACATTGCCTACCTGTATACCTGTAGTCTTGATTTGATACAAGTTATTCCTACTGAAAAAAGAGAAATGAGAAAGGAGGAACGTTATCTCACACTGCTCTCTCATTTGTTGTCTCGCTTCTCTTCCGTTTGATTCCATCTTCGACCTTGGCGGACCAGCCACGTCGAGCGCCATCCGAAGAATTGCATATATTGCACTTCTGTGTCCTGTCTCTGCAGCCCCCAAATTGAGCAGGATCTCATCACCTGCTGCGATTCCCGGTACCGGAGACTTCCCGCTTGGTCTCGGCGGAATCTCAGGTTTCTGGTGATGGGGGCTCCGTCTCACTGCTGCTTGAAAGGAGGCAGGAGTAGCGCCTCATCGTCACTCGTTGCTGAGTCTCCAGTAAGGCAACAGCAGCATCTCATAAGGTACCTTAGGTATCTCCATCTACTGTAGATCGCAAAGTACAGATACCTACATACGACTGCAGTGCCGCATCTCCGTCGCCCCCAAACATTGGCTGCAGAAAAAAAAAAAAATGGAAAAAAAGACCCGGGAGAAAAAACGCCGCTAATCCGCCTCCGTCGTGCTGGTTCGCGTCCGTCCCGCCGATTGAATCCTTAACCATTTTAGACCTCGATTATTCTTACCACCGTCAGCTTTTTTGGCTCGAGGTGCCGATCTGGCTCGGTGAGCGTTTCGGGTTCGCTCCAGAGTCACGACAAGATCGGGCTGCTGCACGTTTTTGCTTGCACATTGTCTCACCTGCATCGCCAGCAGCGGTGCTCGGCCGCCTACCGCCGGCTGTTCCGATCCAGGACGACCGACTCATGGCCACTTGATGCCAGGTGATACCACTTGATACCACTGGATATCTGGCCGGCCTCTTCTTCGCTCCTCCCAGTCGTCTTCCTTCTGCCCCCAACAATTGGCCCTCTCTAGTACCCTATCCCCGTCTGACTCGGCCGTCGAAAGAAAGCGAAATCAACCAAACGAAGGCGATAACAGGGAAAGGGGGATCAAAGCACACCGACCAGGGAATCAAGAGGCTCGCGCTCCGATGATGCGCCGCAGGAGACCATGTTGAAGACATCCCCCATTCTCTCCCCCTCCAGCGCCTCCCCCTCCAGCTTCCACAATGCCTCGCGATCCTCGCAGGACTCCGTCACCTCTCAGCCGTCCCAGCTGCCGTCCGTGAGCCCGAAGCCGGCGTATGTGCGTCGCCTCTCCTCGCAGTCGACGACGACAGTCTCCGCCACGGCCTCCTCGTCGGCCCTCTCTCCTGGTCGGTCTCGCCGCACCGGGGCGTCTCATAGCGATACCCGCACTCCCTCCCGCGCCTCCATTTCCACGTCTCCGTCCCCCGCTGCGCTGCCTACGACGACGACTACCAAGATGACCGTTACCACGACGACCAACATGGGCGTCAGCGGCGAGACGCTGCAACCCAGCCGGCACTCGCCCGCCCAGGCCCAGCTGTACAACGCCCTCTCGCCCAACAAGCGTCGACTCGCCGCTGCCTCGGCCACTCCAGACGCTTCTTCAGCGCCCCCGGCAGCGCCTCCGGCCTCGGCCGCCCCCCAACAAGCCGTGGCCCAGCAGGCCGCGGTTCAGCAGGCGGCTAAACGAGCCAAGCCTGAGGAACGACCTCCCATTATCCTGCCTCAGAAATACGAGCACTGTCCGGTCGAGCACATGGTCGAGCTCATCTCGCACATGCTGGGAGAGCTGATTGCCACTAACGACGCAATTCGCATATCGAGCGGTGGCCTGACGCGGTTTCACTCTAGGTAAGCTTGCAAACTCGATTCAGTTCGCTTTCCCTGGGCAAGACTGACTCAATCTCATAACAGAACCCCTCCCGGTATCTCGGTTAGGGACTATCTTCATCGTCTGGCTCGACATGCTACCCTCATACCACCCCTTCTCCTAGCCATGGTCTACTACATCGACAGGCTCTGCGCCTTGTATCCAGAGTTCACCATCAACACCCTCACCGTCCATCGATTCCTCATCACCGCGGCCACCGTTGCCGCAAAGGGCCTATCCGACTCCTTTTGGAACAACACCACCTACGCACGAGTCGGTGGTGTGCGTGTGGCTGAGCTACGGCTCCTCGAGCTCGAGTTTCTCTACCGGGTCGACTGGAGAATCGTGCCGAACCCAGAAATTTTGGTAGCCTACTACCAGGGTCTCGTGCAGAGATGTCCTGGATATGAGCTTGAGTCGGATGGATCGAGCGAGAACGATGAAGACGACGAGATTGATGACGAGGACGACGTCGACGACGAAGAGTAAGATGCTGCACTGCAGTAGGCATTGGAGGGACCATCAAATAGATGTGCTTCTGGCACCACTCCCCTCCTGGAAGAGCAGTGCCGATGGACGACGCTGACCAAGCGGCCTTATATCAATGATACCCATCTTTTACCCTTACAGCACTTTCATACCTTACTTGTGTTGCCTTCTTCTTTCGGTCAGCAGTCGTTTCATAGGCCGTCTCTTGCTTTTACACGCCTTCGTCTGTCCATCGTTCACCCAAGGAAGCCATCACCTACTTACCCTCGCGGGTGAGCAGCTCCTCTGGGAAAATAGCCTCACAGGGTTACACTACAATTATTTCCTTTGTCTCGCATTATACGCATCATGGAAAGGGGGGATATGTGGTGAGGAGCATATTGGCGTTTTATAGGAGTATGTGTGGCATTTCCGATTGCTTTCTTGTGTGCTGGATAAGGGGCACTCGATTAGGGATCGTTTTGATCTGGGATGAGAATATTACATCATCCGTGTACATATATGAATGGAATACTGTTCGCTTTGCTGACGATGGTGAGAATGCTGCGAGCCTGATATATCGAGTGACATTGCCTCAAGTTCTACATTGCTCTAGGGAATGCCACTGTGGTTTAAATATAGACGTATATCGACTAATTGGTGCGGCGGCTAGTATAGCTAACTGCAAAGTCCAACGTTGCCTTGGTGTTGAAGCTTTTCGCAAGTAAAGGGATTGCTCTACAAAGCAAACAGCTTGATCTGGGAGCTTTCCAAAGTACATGTAGTTCACGGGCACTTGCGTTGGCTGTTTTGGTGGTGGTTGTAGATGAGAGATTGAAGAAACATTTGATATTTTGTCTTGCAAGTAGTAATTCTAGGGGGGGGGGGGGTTTGGATGTGAGTAATACCATGACGGGATACTGTTATAGCGAAGATGTACTGCCTCACTCGTCGATTACAACGGACGCGGCTCCTTGTCAATCACCTCCATTGCTCCAATGTGTGTAAAAGCTTGCATGTGTTGTTCAGCGTGTACATATAAACTAAGGTAAGTTCGATTGATTCTCAAACTGTGAATACGAACATACTTAACAGGGGGAGGTTCGATAAAGAAAGAACGGCTTGTGCCTCTGCTGGGTAGTGTCCTGTCCACCGCAGACTAAATCACAACGCCCAAAGTTGAAACAAGACGCTGCCTCAGGTTGAACAGGAATTAGACCAAAAATAAAAATGAATGTTGAAGAGGAGAAGAAAACCGGAAGACGGACCACACGTTCCCCCTTTGAATCCCACCGATATCCAAGCTCTCTACTAACGAGCGATCTCAACTGCCGGCGTTTCCTGGAGAGAATGATTGATAAGAAGGGCAGCCACGACGTAAATGTCAGTGATTATAGGTAGAAGCTGAACAAAGACTGTTGTCGTGTCCCGAGCAATTGTTGCAGCTGGAAGAAGCGTATAGAGCGTGGCCATGATGATGTGAGGCAGGGATTGAGTCTTCCGTCGAGGTTGTCTATTAAAGAGGCCGAAGATGCAGCTCCAGTGCAGGCACGTCATAACGGCAAGCAGAAGTAGGCTGGTTTCACACCGACTGATGGGTATCATAGATGAAGGGAAATAGCTGAAAAGGTCATATGCCGTCGAAGAGCTGCACGGGCGATCTCTTGCGCTGCTGTTGAACTGGACCGCGACGATGTTCAGCGCGGCCGTCAAGCCACAAGCTGCCACAACCTTGTATATAGCAGCGTGGTCGTTCTCTGCCTCGGCATCTCGATGTGGCTCCTTGTATGTCCATGGTGTTTCTGCAGCACTGCCAGAGTAAAAGGAGTCTCTTCCAGCTCTCTGCATCCAGGCTAATCCGGTGCATCTAATGCGGATTCGTAATGAAGAAAAACCGCGGATCATGAAAGATGGACGATCTTGCGTTGCGATATGCTGCTGCGCTGCGAAGCAAGCTTCGAAATAAGGGGGGGTAAGGGCGCAAGGGTTTGGGGTAAGGCGGGTAGCTCTACCACTTCACCAAGAACACAAAGGTTGACGGGTATTTATTTGATCATTTTCGTGCTCTCAGCAGTCCTTAAGAATGCTGTGCAGCCAAGCTGGGGTCTCGGCTGCTCCGAGTGACGAGGCATTCTTCATTTCCGGGCCTGCAGCAGAACTCACCGAAACCTCCTCGGCCGACCAACCACCATCAACCACGCGGCAGGCAATACATGCAATGCAACGCAACCCGGAGGCCTCATGTGCCAGCTATAGATCCCTCATATGCTCGAAGAAGACAAGGCAATGGCAAGGCGCAATTCCAAGGCTCAGTCTGATTGGACGCCTCCTCGAATATTCTATCAAGGAGTTCGGTGTGCCTTGCTGCATCCGTACCTGCTTCTGATACATGATAACGAGTTGATAGGCTCACAATCGTTTGCTCATTTTACGCCCTGAAATTCAGCATTAAGTAAAGAGGAGAGGCGCAGTTGTGAATGACGTCTCGGGAACTACTAAACAAACACTGCTGCCTCCTTTTACCCCTTGGCCGTTGGAATCTTCCACATGCAAAAGGCGAGCTACCTTGGTAAGAGCACAGTTTCCCAAAACGTCTGGGAATGAATACCGCGCGTCGTTCGCTCTTCTTTGGCATTGGAAGAGTTAAATCGTACTTAACTGATTTGCTGGCCACCTGCCTACAAAGAGAAGCCGTTTCTTCTGGCTCACCCACTTCTAACTTTCCCCATCTCAGCGAGCACCTGGACACCACAACAGTGAGTAGAAGAAGTCTGTATTACTAGATTACTTGCCACTCTCCCTCTCTTCGTCGAGAGCTGTTGTGCTCCAATCGCTCTCTCACTTCTTCTTCTCTCCTTCCTCAAGACCAAGAACGACGATTACCCTCTGTCTCCTTGGCTTGTCTCTCACAAGAGTGCGAGACATCCTCCAGGCGTTGCTTCTATTCTTCAATCTTGATCCATCTTTTCACAACAAGAGGCCTCATCATTGCTCTTGTCTTGTAGTCTAGCCATCTCTCCAACTTTTCATCTCTTTTCAACGGTAGTTCTTCATCATGGATACCGGTCAGGCAAGGATGGGGGGCTATCTGTTGCTCGTCAACATGTACCTCTCAATGCTGGTCCTCTTGTTGGGAAGCCATCAACATCTCTTCTCATGGGCTCCGATAGCAAACTTTGTGTGCGTCTCCTTTACCAGATCATTCTTCTTTCACCATCTCCTCTTTCACTATCTCTCCTCTTTCACTATCTCTCCTCTTTTACCATCTCTCCTCTTTTACCATCTCTCCTCTTTCACTATCTCTCCTCTTTCACTATCTCTCCTCTTTTACCATCTCTCCTCTTCCACCATCTCCTCTTCCACCATCTCCTCTTCCACCATCTCCTCTTCCACCATCTCCTCTTCCACCATCTCCTCTTCCACCATCTCCTCTTCCACCATCTCCTCTTCCACCATCTCCTCTTTCACCATCTCCTCTTCCAGCACTTCAACTCTCGTCTATTATGCTTACATCAGATTAGACTTCTGCTCTTCTGGGGAGTGACCGGCCTGTCCCTTGTTCTCGTTCACCATCAGTATCTCTTGAGGTAAGTCTTCATGGAATTAAATACTCAATGGCAACCATCAATACCCTTACCGTCCAGGCCTTGGTTTTGACTGACCGTATCAGGGGCCCTCGCCAAATGATACTATATCCGCTAGAAATATGGCTAGGATTTGCATTTGCGCTCCATTCGTCACTCGCAGACACCGTCCTTGTCCTTCCGATAGTCACAACAGCTACTATGATCTATTTGGCGTCGTTTCAGGGCGGCCAAAGTCTGGAGCTGCGGGAGCTCCCTCGGCCAGTTTCTGGGTGGAGGTGAAAGGGTGGACACTTGTAGAACGCAGGTCACTCATCTTCTTTCATCTCCTTTTACCTGGCCGTCTTTTACCTGGCCATCATGGACGGAATCAGTTGTCGAAAACCTAATAACCTTTGGAACGCATGTGTAAACGAGACACTTTATCATTTCATACTTTCTTTTTTTTTCCTTGGGCGGCATTTGGATCCTGGTTAGTTGATCCCTCCATCTTTAGAATTGACGGAATTAGGCTCCAAGAACTTGGACTCACGAGATGCATTGCCCACAGACTGTGTGTACATGAATGAGACATCGTCGCGACTACCACAACTATGTTCGTTTGACGGACAGTAAATAAAGGCATTGGATCAGGGCGCTCAGCTGCCTGAACCCGGCTTCATCGCCCCCCGTTCTCTTGCGGCGTCGACCGAGGACCACAACTTACCTTACACACACATACAGTAGTTGTAGGGCCTCAAGCTTACAGGTGGTATTTCGTGACATAATGCCAGCCATCATCCATTCCCCGAGGAAATATAGATAGAAGAAGATATTGACTCTGTGGCCCACCCGATTGACTGACTTTTCAGGCAGCGGCCTTGTGTCCAAGTGAGCGGCCGAATATATGGGGGTGAGATGCAGTCCAGCGTCCAGCTCCGTCACATTTGCCTCCTGAAAGAGAACAGATTGTGATAAACACTTCGTATGGAGTAGTCTATGTATCGCCACACTTGATATCATGCTCCTCTCTTAAGGCCGTCTTTGCTTACTTCTCATAACTTGCTCGTTGTATACGCTACACCATCGATGGTAAATACAATCTGAAGAGCCCCAACGACTTATGTATCCATGCAAGTCTAACCACAATCCAAAGTCTCTAATATAACTTTTGAACATCATCTCAGCAAGAGATCAAGGTGCCGAACGTATGACCAGGTGCAGCGCCGAGCTGACGATTTTCCATTCAATGCAGAACAAGGCAGGCTTTTCTCAGTGCCATTGATGAACACTATAAGATCAATTTGAAAGAAGGACAAGGGCAGAAGGAATAGTAGTTTAATATTCGTGAACGGTATGGGGCTCGTACCGCTCTATGTACGAGAGCCAGCCAAGAGCATCGCCAGACAGTGTTGAAATATTCGAGGTCCAGTAACGCCGTCTTCTATCAGTGGTAGGAAGGTGGCTATGAGACGCAGGTGACGCTGTACGGGTAACCAAGAATATAGTGTCCCGAGATACGCAGGGTTCGCCGATCACAAAAAGAAAAAAAGGCACCTCGAACGAACTATATCCCCCACATCTCGTCGGCTGATTATATTGCTGGTAGGCAGGTGATGCCAAACTCCAGTGCCTTCACCAGTGACGGTGACCACAAGAGTCGTTTCCAAGATCGAGACATAACCGGCGCATATAGATGGCGTAGATGTCTCAGGCACGAATGTCTCTCTGGCCGACCTTCAGGGACTGCCACAGGCTCAAACAATCGTCCTTCTTCATCAGCGTTCCATGATCAGACTGACCGGAAGGAAGATAACCATGAGTTGACAGAAGTTCCGCATCGCAAAGTCCTCTGCGAGGTCTTCATCCAGCGTAATTGGTTTAGTGGTAAAATTCTCCGTTGCCATCGGGGAGCCCTGGGTTCGATTCCCAGATTACGCATTGCATTATTTTTTTCCTGGTACTTTTTGGTTGTTGTGGATATTGCGATGGGGGTCTTCGAGATGTGGAGTTGCAGAGGTGGATGAACTTGACGTGGAGTGGATTGGTGACGCAGCAATTGTATAGGATCACGAATCAGGTTCCCGAGAAGCCGAATGATGCTACAACCTTGGATCCGGATCACTAGCCCTGGACTCGGGGCTTCATTGATCGAAAGCGGACAACAGGATGATGGTATCCTGGTTTGGTCACATATGAATGCCCTCCATCATACCATATGCGGCTGACTGGTGACATGTCTGCAGGATGTGTGCATTTTAACCGAGCAAGCGTAATGAAGTGTCAGAATATCCGAGTCCCCAAACGGACAATAGACCATACACGATCGGAGAATTGGGCTATAAAGGCGTATGACAGCCAAAGGGACGTGAAGATCTGGCGGGATATTCGCATCTCCAAGGCGTTGGTGGGCCGTGGCTGGAGCTGGTGCTCAAGAGAATCTGAGGCCGACGAAACGTGAATCTTTGGCGGGATTTCCGCATCTTTAAACAGTCCGTGTAATGTATCGGAGGCATGTAGCCAAGACGCAAATGATTGTAAGACAGCTGCGAGCCGAACCCCGTCTTCGTAGACCATGCGTCTATTTTGACACTGTTTGATCCGACATTAACGTGGTAACCGAATCCTGACCTTGCACGCCAAACGGGCGTCAAATGGACGTCAACGACGTGCCCATTGCATCGTCAACATTGGCTGCGATGCGGGTATGGTGAGGGCTACCCGCGCCATAGCTGCAATATGAGGGTGAAGCTGAACCAGGGGTCATACTTCCACATAACATCCACATCGACAGCTGGAGTCTATGAGGTGCTGACCACTCCGTTTCGGAGGCGCACATCGCGACGAGCCACGAGTGATGGCAACGGCGGCAACTTCTGGCACGCAATCCCGACCCGATCGACGGTATCTGTGAGTTACGAAACGTCTCGTGGTCATTGTGTAGTAGAAGAGCTGTTGCACAGCATTGGGCCGGCCACTGCTGTGCATTAGAATAGCTGCTGCAAGGCCTCAACCGAGCAAACGCGGCATAGTAGAAGAGCTGCTGTAAGGCATTCGGTCAGGCCGAGATGTTGTAGTAGTAGAGCTGTTGAAGAGGGTTTTGTCGACGACTTGGTGTAGTACAAGAGCTTCTGTACAGCATTCGTTCGACTTGGTGTAGTAGTAAAGCTGCTGTATAGCATTCGGCCGAGCCAGTATAGCAAGATGATGATACAGCCATCCGGTTGACGATGAGGGGGGGGCGCCGCCATATGATACCGGCATCGAGAGGCACCGGCCGGGTTTCCCCAACCGCGAATGTCATCGTCTTCAATGGCCATTCGGTTTCTGGTAAGTTCTCCGAGACACCAGTCCAGGTTTCCCGACCACGGATGTCATCATCCTCAATGGCCATTCGATACCTAGCAAGGTCTCCAAGACACTCGTTCCATGCATCTTCGAGGGCCGGCACCGTCTCGTAGAGGAGGGCCATCATATAGGCATCCAAATAGGTCGAGGCAAGATGCTCGATCCATGTGTCCTCAAAGGCCGGCACGGTCTCGTAAAGGAGGACCATCATATAATAAGCCAGAAAGATAAATGCAAGCATATGATCCATCGAAGCAGGCAAGCTCTGTCGAAGTAGCTCAAGAAAGGACTGGATGCCATGCTTCCACATCCGTGCGGGCATCGCGTACTTGGAAGCCAAGCGCCGCAGTGCGGGGGTTGCTGTAGGGTGCTGGCCGGCTAGAAAGAAGTCGTGGTGCTCGTCAAGCAGAGTGCGATGGAGTGATATCAGATCAGTCCATGGTTGCTGTAGGATGCTGAGTGGCAAGAAAAAAGTCGTGGTGCTCCTGAAGCAGAGTGCGATGGAGCGCTATGAGCGCTTGCCACGGGATCCGTGCGTTATCAACCTCGATACACTTGCTTTCAACCATGACCAAACCAGCATAGATCCCCTTGACCTGACCACTGGACAGCTGTTGGCCAGCTGGATGTAGCGTCTGGCCTTGAGTCGTCTGTTGCAATGCAATTTCGACTCCAGTAATACCCTTGCGGTGGCTGGGTTTCCGTCTCGTCCTTGGAGCCCTTGCGCGGGAGATGAGGCAGTATCAAGGCTACCGTCACCGATTCTGTGCACCTGGAAGCATGATTGCTGGGCGGAATCGAAATCGGCGCGGTCCAGGGACTGGGATGGGAAGTCCCAGATCGTCGTCGGGAGCTCCGCCGCCCCTCTGCGCCGCCAAAAAGACCATGGCGGCTGTAGTGGCCAGCGGCAGCAGCAGGATTGCCTCTGAGAGCGAAGATTGCAGAACCATGACGAATGGCAGCCACACTTGCAGCGGGTAGAGTATCGTCCGCTGAGGGTTCCTGCAAGGATCGGTGAGCGGCCCATCTCCTTTGCATTAATATAGGCGCAGGAAACACACAAACACACATACTGTAGGAGATATCGTTTGTGAAGGAAGGCGAGCGACATGCCCGTCACGCCCCAAGCAGCCAGTATTCTATGTCACAACGGCTATAAGCACAAACGATTCATGAAGCAAAGCAGAGCGAGGCGATTCAGACTTACGCAAACGTTGCCGCCGGCGCCCAGGAGAAATGGCTCTGCTGGCTACCCGGAAGAAGGACTAATGCTGAGAGGGAAATATTGATCTGCAGTAACCAACTGGAGAGCACCATTGCAGATGTTGGTCCAGCTTCTCCGTTCTTGAATGCTCTTTGGAGGATCAAACACTTAACAAGCGATGTTATGGGCGAGGTAGAAGATGATGAGGGAACACAAATGAAGCAGGATATGCTACTTCTTGAAGTAGACAACAATATGAGACATGCCAGACGGAGAAGTCAGGGCTATGTATCAGGCCGCTTGGAGGAGAGAAAAGTTGTAAACCAAAGGATGAGTGATAGAGGATGAGAGATCAGGAAAGAGAGACGCAGTTCGAGCGATGAAGGCTCCGAGATGGTTGACAGAGACAAGAATGTAAGAGGTGGATGGGTTTGGGACTTGATATGGTCAGTTATCGAGGTTGGAGGCTGTCGTGCGCACACACAAGGCCCGAGGGCGGAGAGATAGGGGGGGTGTGTGCGTTAAAGGGTCGGGTTTCCTAAAGAAGTTCGTCTTACCTTAGGTTCCCAACCTCCTCAAATAATGCGAGAAGGATGCACACCTTCAATATGGAACGCGCAGACAGGTACTTCAAACAAAGTACGAGCCTCGCTGCGTGGTTCGCGGCGAGAGATGCAGCGACATGGATAGCGTAAGGGAACCCGACATGGCGTGGTGGCTGAGACAGGAGGGTGGTCGCTCTCACTCCCCTGCTAGGATCCAATGATACTCGCAGGCGGAAAGTGAGGGGTATTCTGACAAGGTTCCTCGGGAATCTCTCACCTGTTCTGTTCTCATATTGAGGCTCAGCCATGAAGGACACTTTCGTTAGCTGTTTTCCCTCTTTTCTCGTCGCGTTCAATGCATGTTACCGGCTCCTCTCGCCGTATGCTGCTTGCCATCTTTGAGTGAATCGAACTTCAGCCTCGAGATATCAGATCATCCGCTCCTGATACGCCATCCAAGCCTATGTTGGAACGCCATGACCCAGAGACCCCATTCCCAGCGGCCACAAAGAACGAGCAAGGCGTCGAGGCGTCACAAACCCACGCGACAGCTCGGCAGACGACAGATCTTGACGATGATAGATATTTCTTATGCCACACCTTGGCGGCTTGGGGGTTGACGGCGACTCTGTACATCATCCCAAAGCAGTTCAGCAAGGGATCCCAGGACGAGGAGGGCTGGAAGACATATCTGGTAGGACAATGAATATCGAATATTGCAGAGTGTCGCTCTGACAGCTGAGTCAACGATAGACGTGTAAACCCGAGATGATGCGGGACCAGAGGCATTCTGTCTTATTCCAGGATAGACGATGCTCTTGCGAGTTGTTTCTATTGCTGATAGCCGCGACTACCGTGGTACACTGGAGCTTCGTGGTCCGCCTGTTCAGCCGGCCAAGGTGGAGGGATAAATATCTGTCGCAGACCTTGACGACAACATTTGCGGCTCTTCTTCCGCTTGCGCTGATTATCCAAGACCCGGCCATAGTCTTTCTTCGTGTTCTCCCCACCGTTATAGACGCGTGCGCCTCTGCGTGCCTTGCCTTGGATTATTTCCAAGATAGGTCATGCCGGGGGACTTGACAACATGGAACCACGATTGAATGCTGCAATACCATGAAGGCTCGCAGGGGGATGGAGGTAAATGTATTTGGCAAGGAGTTTCGCGGTGTTCGATATCTGTCTTTTCTTCCATAGGAATAATATCAAGCCATTTCGTGGTTTCCCTTACTTCATTCCATCAACCACCAATGAACCTCATCAGGGCTTCATGCGACCAGACAGCATCAAATTAAGATGTCATCATCATGTAGAGGAAAAGCGTATCAGCAGAATGCTCGCCAGTGTTAGATGTATCAAGACACTCTCTGGGAGATTCCCCGAGGGCCTCAAGTGTTGTGCCACAAACTGACAAGGGCGATTATAGCATTGCAGTAACTGTTCGGTGAGCGTTATTGCGCGATGGCATCAGATTGTCCAACTAGACCGACATCTTCCGGCCACTCTTCAGGTCCCTGCTGAGAAAGACTTCAGTTTGTGAAGGAATTCGTCTGACGGACACACTGGTTTGGCCATTGGCACGACCAAGAGCAACCTCGGCTATACTGGTGAGGTAGGCTGTCCAATGCCGGTGAAAAGCGGTGGCTCGGTTAGGAACTGCCCATAATTCTTCTCGCGGGCCATAAGTAGTACCTGGCAGGGAGTCCTTTCAGCATGATTCCAAAAGTCGCTCCCGGAGGCACATGGCTGACGCCCAACTCCGCCTGCAAAAGAGGCAACCTCCCTGTATATGCAAAGCATGGGCCAGGATCCTAGAGGCGACGGCGGAGAAGCCAGTAAAACGGTTGCCTCGACTCGCGCGTCGGCGGTGATGATGGACGACACGTCATTTGGCTCACATTATTGGCTCTGGCCAGCCCAAGCTTGGACAGCAATACAGTGGCCTAGTCCAGCTGAGAGGGTGTGAAAATGCAGCCACTTGGCAGGATGATTCGACAGAGGCCGCGACCCATCTACCTACCCCATGTTCAGGGTACATAGAAGGCATTGTCCCTGTCAAAAAGGCGACAGACACGGGACGTTGGCAGCCCCGTTGGCGGCGTGGAGGCGTTTGGGAACTGGTTGCGATGGCCGTTTGCTTTGCTTGTGTCTGCTCATCGAAGTTGTCGGAGCAGCCCCGGACAGCTTCGGAGCTTCTACAGGCGAACCATTTCAGCTAGGTAGGCGCACGGAGGGCGTCTCGTTGAAAAGGTTGCCTTATTCTCCATGCCTTGCTGGGCTGCCTGGTTCGCAAGTAAGGCTTGCTGAGCAATTGATAACCAGTTGCCTTGAGTGATATTCAGTAGGTATGCAGTAGTAGTAGAAAATAAAGGCAGCCTTGTAAGGTTCAAGATTGTCTGTTTGAGATCCGTGGTATGACGTCCCCCAAGCTGGAGCCACAGCACGTGCTGGCGAAACCCACCGCTCCAGAGGCGTCTGTCCGTATTCGGCACTGAGCTTATCCCGGTACCTTGCAACAGCTCCACCACTGCTCTCAACTGCCTTATCGCAATCGAGGCCAGGTAACGACACCTGCTGGAGAGGAACAGACACAGCTCTCAAAACAGCTCATCCCGCAGCTTCCCTTTTCCATTGCGCGGGCAAGATGCGCATCAACGCTCTCTTCTCGGCCCTGTGCGCCGCAGCTCTTGTCCAGGCCGGCTTCCGCACCGCGCAGATCTACATCCAGCCCGTCGAAACCCCCGAGACGCCCAGCCTCCTCGCCGAGGTCGCCTTCGATGCCAGCAACGGCGCAGCGTCGTCCATCATCTCCTACGAGGCTCCTGAGCTTCCCGAGTCTGCACAGCTGGTCCGCGTGGGCCTGTACGACACAAAGTCGGCGCGGTGGATTTCCGGCACAACCGTGGCCTCGGTGGACAACTTTGACAAGGGATACTCGCCCAACCTGGTCCTGTCGGTCGATGCGCATGGCGAGCTCCTGAGCGCTGCTCTCAAGGGCGTGAGGATCGACGCGGGTCAGACGAGGGACTTTGGGCCGCAGATTGTGGTGCTGCCGGCGCTCAAGGGCAAGCAGCCTGAGCTGAACAAGCCGGTTGTGCTGTCACCGGAGGGGAAGAAGGTGGAGGAGGAGGAGAAGACGATTCTTCAAAAGTACGTTGTGTGTCCCGTCTCTGTGGCAGTTCATGGTACTAACGTCACGCAGGTACTGGTGGTTGATTGGTATTGTAGTCTTCCTGGCAATGAGCGGAGGGGGCAGCGAGAAATAGAAATCGGAAATATACACGCACATCTATCAATGCGAGCAAGACACTGTCACGATGAACGGGCCACTGACAGGGGCCGAGGTGTCGCAGTTGCCTTGGTGATCCCAGCTCTGTCGCTCTCTGTCCTGATGCTTTTGAGTTGCTCCACGATACCCAAACAAGGCTCATTGTCTGCGTATGATCCCTTACACCTATTCAAGTACCGTAACACTGTTCTTTTGCCATTACACCTATTCGCAATCATAGCAGTCCCTCCTCATCGTGGCACTCATTGACTCCTTTGTTCATGTGTCCGCCCTTGTTCTCTACACGGTCATGTCTCACCCAGATCCAGACAACACGTGACTGCGAGATACACTACAAAACTCGATGTGCGCTAGTCCCCAAGTGGCCTAGCCCTGTTGCTGCCTCTCCAGGTCCTCGCCGTGCAATTGGCGAGTTCCTTCCCAACCCAAAGAGCTTGAAGCACTGTTCGATCCACCTCGAGCTCACCCGCCCTACTTATACCTTACCAAAACACTGGCCCTTCACTCTTCGTAAGAGCAGCTTGTCCCTCCATCAACCTCTACACTTTCACTTCACACAGCCACTCATCAACAATCTGCCAGTACCGAAAATGTCTGACGGAACCGGAGTTACCAACCCTCACACCGAGGAAACCTTTGCTGAGAGCAAGGGCAAGGGCAAGGCCGCTCAGGACGATGTTCACCAGGACACCGCCATGGATCAGGATGATGAGGACGACGATGACGATGAGGACGACGATGAGGAGGAGGTAAGTCCCAGAGTTAATCAACACCACGATATATCGTCAAATAACTAACTTGTTCACGATAGGTTGCCGAACCAGGTAAATTTGCACTACCACCTAACATCTCCCTACCAGGCAGGCTGTTTCGATCTCTAACCACTTAATGCAGATGAGGACGGTCTCGAGGAGATTGACCTGAACAACATTGTCGAGGGAGGACGCCGCACCCGTGGCGCCAAGATTGACTACGCCAGAGCTGCCGAGCAGACGCCCATGGAGGACGACGATGAGGATGAGGACGACGACGACTTCCAGCCCGCCCATGAGGACACCGAGATGGACGGCTAAGCAAATGCACCCCTGCCGCGTCTGGTATCGTTGGATGACGGACTATTCTATCATGGTAATGTGGATTATGACCAAGCCTTTCACGGGGAGCTGGGCATCTTTCGAGCGGGATCCGAGTACATCGGGCTGATGGTCATGTAACGAGAAGACAAGTCTCTGTTTGCTATTTAAGCTAGGCGTTCAGCTGCCATGCTGGTTCCGGAAAAGAGCAGAGATACCTACCAAAAAATTGCACCCGCCGTGTTGAGGCCATCCACACTTCTGATGCTGTCAGTCCGCAATCGCGTTCTTGGAGCCTTGCTTGTCCCGCCATCCCCACACCCGAGTGAATGGGCCCTGCACCTGTGTCAGGCTCCCACATACCCTGCAATCCAGCTGAACAAGCCTGAATCTGATGACATGCGCTGGACAATTGCTTCGTATGACTTTGTCGCTATGCTTTGATGATTGTCTGCCTACTTTATCTTCTCTTCAATCTTTTGCTCGTTGTGTGCATATACCTTGCCCAGGACAAGCCACAGTTCGTTGTTTGATTCAGCCGCCACCACTGGCTCGGTACGTACTCACTGCGTCTAATCCCTCCAAAAGTCACACACGCCACTCTTGACTGTCACGGACAAGACCACCTAAGCCATAAAGAATGCTGCCTTCAATCAAATAACATTTTCGACAATTCCGCAGAGGGTGACTCTGCATTTTTCTTTCTCAAACCGAACATTCAAGCATTTACTTCTGCATTGTATTTCTTTCAACGGCTCCATTCACCCACGCCAGCTGCTCTGTTTCTCATCTCCGTAGCTGCGCGATTCCTGCTTCCTCTTCCCTTCCAGTGTCATCATGTCGCAAAGGTGCGTGTTCCATGTCCCTGATATCCAGCCTACCCTATTCGAATCCTCACTCGCAGAGGCGACTTCGCGATGCGCGCGCGCCCTTCAGCGCCTCCCCTCCCATTGTCGCCGTTCCCCTCCTCGAACAACTCCAGCAACACCATAGACCACATAGCTAACCACTTTGCCCTGCTGTCCCGCACCACGAGCAGATTCGGAACCTCGTCCCTCCACCAGCGCGACTCCCGCAGCGTCCTCTTCGCCGGCTACACGGGCGACCAGTCACAGCGCGGCGGCGGCGGCCGACCCAGCCCGTCTCCCTCTCCCAACGCCGGCGTAGGAGGGGGCTATGGCTACAGCGGCTACGGGGGCTACTCCCCCTCGATGATGGGCAGCAACGGCTACGGCGACGCAGGGAGCCCGTCGCATGGGTACCGGAGCGCGACGCCGAACCGCAAGGGCCAGTATAGCGACGCGGTGCTCAACGAGCTGGAGAGCCAGAACGACGAGCAGGTGTCAGGGATACTGGGCAAAGTCAAGGTTCTGAAAGACGTACGTCCGGCGCGCGCCACTCTTGCTACGAATTGACTCCCTTTTGATCCATCCAGAACAAACCCCCCTTTTCAGATAAAGGGATCTCATCAATGGGTACCAAAAGGGCGGGAACAGATCAAAAAAGGTGCTAACACGAAAGCGCACAGATGACGGTGGCCATTGGCGACGAAATCCGCGAATCCTCCGCCCTCGCCGAGAAGATGAACGACACGTTCGACTCGACCCGCGTGCGCCTCCGCGGCACCATGAACCGCATGCTCATCATGGCCCAGCGCAGCGGCATCAGCTGGAAGTGGTGGCTGCTCTTCTTCCTCGCCGTCGCCGCCCTCTTCATATACGTCTGGCTGTTTTGAAAGCAAAAAGAAAAACGCCTGCGAGAACGCCTCCTCACCAATCGATTCCGCCCCCCCCCCCCCCCCCCCCCCCATCTTTCCCGCCCCGACCATTGCCTTTTACGAGGAGAACATGATAGAGTGAGGGGGGGTTCTCTCTTCTTTAGTGTTCGCCATGTTTATATTCCCCCCCGTCTTTGTTTCGCGTCCTCCGCGAAGCGACGCTGGTTTTCTTTTCTTTTATAACGACCCGTGATTCTTGGCTGGGTGGGGCTACGGCGTGCTTGTCGACAAAGGAGAAAAACAAAAAGACATGCATCTTGCATCTTGGGGCTGGCGTTTCGGGTGTCTGTCGTTGCTGCTCCTCAAAAAAATCTTTCCCCGTCCCCGTTTCTTTTTTTTCCCCCTTCAAAGTCGAATGGATACATGGGCTGCTGCAATGGTGTAGAGGAGGAAAGAAAAGGACCAGGTTGAGGTTCCTTGACTGTTAAGATGAAGAAAAAAAGCGAGTGCTACTTGGTCCTTGGTTTCTTTGATATGACTTCTTGTTCTATATACTAGTACTTTTAATAGCATCATTGGGCACTGACTTCTGGCCTATCATTTCTTCACATTCTGAATCACACGATAATTCTTTGATTCTCCTCACGCCGCTCACTTTCGCTCGCTATTATCATTGCATAAAAGAAAACCATCAAGTCATTCCTTATAATGTCGTTTGCTCCAAAGCAAAAAGGGGGTATCTAAACTATACTGATATCTATCGTCCCTCTCTCCCCACGCCATCACCACCACAGAGAAAGAGAAGGGCATCAACAAAGAAAAAGAACGAAGGAAAAAAAAAAAAAAAAAAAAAAAAAAAGACCCTTTTACTTCCGCTGTCCTGCCCTTCTCCTGGTCGTCACGGCAGGACTACTCTCCATCATCATCAAGAGACTGCTCTCGTCCTGCGAAAGCAACCCACTCAAATCCAAACTTGCGCGGGACCCAGAAGGAAACCCGGCGTGCCGCGGCATCGTGGGAGACTGGGGAGTCCCGAGAGGCGCAGCCCGCGACGGCATGAAGCTGAGGTCGTGCGTGTCCGTCGTGTCCCCCTCTCCCTCGTCATCCTCATCTTCCTCGTGGACGTTGACGCTCCGGGCGCTGCTGCTGCTAACTTCGGCCTCGGAGTCGGTATGCTCGTACCCGCCGTCGTCGTCGGCCTCAGGAATGTCGTCGTCGAGGTCGGCATCCATGTCGCCGGCCGTGCCATCGTCAAGAGTGTTATCGTACAGGTCGTCTTCGTCGAGCAACTGCTCGCGGTCCTCGTCCTCCAGATCCTCGTCGCCGCCGTACATGCTGCCGTCCGCTTCGGGATCGCCGCGGATGAGGGCTTCCCGGAAGGCGTCGTCCGTCATGCGCATGCGCGCCGCCACCAGGCCGTGCTGCCTTTCCTCCCGCAGAGCCTCTTCGTCGGCTTCCTCTTCTCGTAGTGCTTCTTCATCGTCGTCGTCTTCACCTTCTTCGTTCTCCTCGTCCTCTTCGCCGCCGTCTTCCTCGCTCTCGTCGTCGCTGCTCGGATCAAAGGCGTCTTCCGCATCTGGAATCTCGTCGTCCAGATCTTGCGCACCGTCGAGCTGCACGTCGTCCATCATGCCCTCGTCCATCGGGCCGCCGCCCTCGGCTTCCGCTAGCTCCTGGGCGAGCTGTTCCCGCCGCATAGCCTCCTGATGTTCCTCTTGCTCACGCTTCTCCTCCCGCATCTGGTGTAGCGTTTTCGGCACCCCGGGGGGCTTTATCCAGGTGCTGCCAAAGTTCTGTACATTCAGTCGGCGGCGGTTCATTTTCTGCTCGTCTGCAGCGAGCCGCGCCAGCGGTGTCCGCTCCATGAGCTGCCCACGCTGCCGCGAGTGTGCAGGGCCATGATGACTGTGGTTTGTATCCGTGTGAAGGATGTCGACCGGGCCTGGAGGGATGAAGGGATTCCTAGACGACGAGTACCACAGAGAGTGTGACTGCACCATGGGTTAGCCGTAATGCCCGAGAATGGCCCAAACTACAGGGAGGCGTCCTTACGTCTCGCGGCGTGAAGTCTGGCAGCGTTGCGAACATCGGAGAAACCGCAGGCAGACCCTGAAGGTCAATCAATATCCCAGCTTGTGATGGTGATGAGGTCTCGTGGGTATGGTTGAACAAATTACGAGATAGCTTGGCGGCTGTTTATTGGCCCTGGACCCGCAGGCGTTTGTGGCGTCTAGGTACCTCCGTTGCTGTACTTTTAGGCGCGCACACCAACATTGGAAGCCTTCCACGTGTCAGCCTCATGGCGACGTTGAAACAGCCACAGTTGAAGTTGAGCTTCGTATTACATATGAAAACCAAATGCTCCGTGGTTCTCTCTCTGTGCTTGGACAATACGACGATGCTGGGTGATCTCGATGAGCATAGGTATCTTGACAGGTTTTCCTCAAAGTGCATGCTATTACAGCGGGCAAAAGCCACCGGCTGATGCCCGTCTACACCAAAAAGTGAGCTACGTGTTCCTCAAAGCCAGCCAGGCGGTAGGCCTGCTCTGGCAGCTTGTTACAGAGATCGTCCTCGTAAACCCTTGCAATGACTCAGAACCCAATCGAACGATGGGACAAGACAGATGCTCGTCAAGGGCCAATTACGGCCGTTTGTGCATCTGGTCTGGTCCAGCTTGGCGTACGAGGACTTGGGGAGAGACAGGCTCTGGGTGGGTATCGGGAGTTTTCGGAACGTCCACACAACCCCCATCCTCATTTTCCCTGCCGTGTGTAAGAGCTGCAACATGGGGGTATCGCGGTCGTTTCCGCTCCGTCTTCGGTGAGAGCCACCATGCCATGCTCCTTGGACCGCGGCCAGGCTGCAACCATTGGACTCTCGTGTGCAACGTCGTCGAACTGACTGAGTAAGATGAACTCGGAGTGGAATATAGCCGAACAATAATCCGCCCGAGATGAGAAGTGACCCTGATAGTGCCAGGAGCCCTCGGTGCTCCCCAAAGTGCCTCGGATCAGCGCAGTGCATTCAAGTCACTGGGCATCAGAGCGTGAACGTGAAAAGAATAGTGTGCAGTTTCGTCGGCTGTTGTGATCGGGAAGTTGGTGATGAGGCCAACTACTTCCCATGGCTTTGGCCAGTAATGAACCATCGGTCTTGTATGAACAGCTGGCCTGATGTTCATCTCTAGCAGCGCTGTCATTACCGAGATTCCGCTTTGATCTTTATAAGAATCGTCGGAGCACTCCGTTCAAGCACAAATAACAAAAGTACATACCTACTACTCGCGTGAGGCGTCCAACCATCTGCGATGCATTCGTCCAGTGATCTGGAACGACGACACACCCCTCCCCTGCCCCGCCATCTGGCTCGGGAAAATAGGCCCTGGTAAATTGGATAAGACGGCGGAAGGAATAGGCGCCGTTGCATTTTACCCTGACTGAGAGAGGTGTTGATGCGCCTAGAGTGGACATGAGTGTAGTTCAATTGGTACGTTGCGAAATGAAGACACTCCAATATTGCCTCAGTTGGAAGTGGCCTGTTTCTGTGCGTGCCCATAGGTAGGCAATCGTGACGGTACGAGTACGCCTTGGAGTTGTCCGTTCTTTCTGTGTCCTTGACAAAAGCTGTGCTGATACTTTGCTCTTCGGACCCCCGGTAGTCAGTGTAAATAAATCCCTTTTGCAGTTCAGAGACAACTGCTCGTTGAGAACAACCACCTTGCAGGCACCTCCGGCAGCACCTCTGGGGGTACGTGCAGGCGCCAGTGCCATCACCTCATTTGGATGTCACCATGACTTGTGTGAGTGCAACCATGGAGTGCGAGTCCTCATAGCAACTTGTACCTGCTTCTCCAGCTGCTAGGTAGAGGACCTTAGATGCCTCATAACCGAGACCATGCTGTGGCAAGCTGGCTCGTATCAACGTTCGAGTAGTCCCAGGCTAATACCACCACTATCTGTAGCATTAGACGTTCGGGCGACGGGCCGGCAATCTTGGTTGGCCTGAGATAAGGACGACAGGCCCGCGGCTGGGATGCTGATTGGCTGCAGGCGCCAGTTTTATGATGTCGATTTTTTGAGTGAGCACCACCACGCCGCCAGATGGATGGGTCGTCCCGGCAGTCCATGCGAGCAGCTCGTCAGGATGTGGCATCGCGTCCCTCATACTAATATCAACAGGCAACATCGAGGCGAGACGAGCCAAAGGAGGTTGCACCGGACAGGCAGGGTTGTCATAATCGTGCCTCTCTCGACTTCGTGCATGCTGCAGGTGTCGGATCTTTGCACCTTATTGGCCCACGAGGTTTCCGGGAGCGTCCTCGTTCGAGATGGCTGTTCTCCGTTGGTCCCCTCCCCGTAGTCCTTCTCTCTGGCCTCAATACAGGCATGGCGCCGCTGGCGCTGGAAAACTCCATAAATGCAATCTGCGGCCCAGCACACCCGGCTACTCTCTGCAGCATCCGCGCATGCCCAGCCCCGGCTCTGCATCCTCATCTCGTCCACCTTGTCCATCTTGCAGCCAGAAACTGCACCCGACCTTTCTGTTTCGGCCATGTCGAGCACGAGTGACATGTCTGCGGCACGTGTGGCTATGACGACGAGAAGTCGCACAGATTGCCTCGCACATGGCACCAGCTTCGAGGGGGGCTCCCGTGTCCCCGAGATGGGGACGAAAGAACACCAACACGCCGTGACTACATCCCCTTGTCTTAATAGCGTGTGTAGGCTCTCAATGGCGCTGTTTGGGTAAGATTGCAATGGTGGCGCTGAGCATCGATTCCTCTGCCGTCTTTGGGGTCTGTCTCTCCAGACGCCAGACCGCATGGTGGCGTTTTAGGGTCTCCGTCCGTCAAGAGCAACGTATGCCGTTGGTGTCGAAGCTTGAGCGCGACATCGGCCAGGCAGGGGCCAGGCTTTGGAAATGGTCGGCCGTGATTGGTGGTTCAGCTAAGCTTCAAGCCGTCAGCCACAGATCCTCGTGTGCATCTGTCGCAAGGCCGGTCGGTGGTGTGGAGGGATAATCCCTGCGAGAGCAGAGATGCTGTGGGGTTGGAAGGGAAGCCCTGCCGCATTCGAGCATTCTTAGCCCTCAGATTTCTCTTACACAAAGCGTGTTGCAAACCAAATGTCTCGGCGACTGGATAAGCCCGTCTCTAGTCATCGAGATAGGCTGAGACGAGCGTCAGCCGCCTTGGAGCCAACCAGAGGGCCGGGAATTAGTCGCAGCTTATTGTTGTGACAGCAGGCGATGAGGCGAAAAGAAAGGAGGGGCCTCTGCATTGTGCGGCCATTCGCAACGGAGGCAGGCAGTCGGGCGGTTGCAAGAACAAGCGACGGAATTGGGGGAGCTGCTTGGCACGGCTGGAATTGTTGCTCGCAGCCATTGTGGACTATGACTGAACGGAAATTGCAGTCCATGCGGCCATGTCGTTCTCGACGCCGTGTGTTCCGATGGACGGGATGAATGGCAGTTTTGTGCTGGTAATTCGAGGGTAATGAGAATAGAGCAGCGAGTTTCCTGGGGGTAATAGCAAGATTTATGAGGGTAATCGATAGCCCGATTGGGAAAGTCTAGATGGAAACCGATGTTGGTGCCTCAGGCGTATTACGTACCTTCCTGCACAGAGGGGTCCAGACAACACCAGACAGAACAACGCTTCATCCAGGCTCCCCTCAACTTCAGAACATGGCCGGAGAGGACCGGGTCTGTGCAAAGGGGCAAGATGCTAAGCAATTGCCCCAGGGGGGGCTACCTACCTACTGTACATACAACCGAGGGCCAATCCTCGCTCGCCTCAGTGGAAGAGGTGACGTGCCCACCCGGAGATCCCTCTGCTTGCATGCCTTGAAAACCAACAACACCGCCAATAGTGCGATTTGTATGCGGAGGCTCTTTGCCTTAACACAAGCCGATGCTGGTGATGCTACGACTGCCTAGCCCTTGTAAGGACCCCGAGGCTAGCGCGGCGTCTTCCCTGGCTCTTGAGATGCTCGGGCTCGGACTGACATCAGCGAACTGCAGGCTCGAGTCGAGGGTTCTTCTGCCTCCGCGCATCGGCGCTGCTCATGCACAAGCACGACGAATGAAACCGTCCTCCTGCGTCCCCATATTCTCCAAAGATGAGATTCGACCAAAGCACGAAGCACACGCGGAAATTGCCCTGTGCCCCTTCTGCCTTCAACGCTGGCACACACCCCCGGAGCTTGCGGTGTTTTCTGACATGTGCTTCTGGGGCCATCACTGGAGGGGCAGATCGGTCCGCAGCAAGAGGCCTGGGAGTTCGTCTCCAGCCCGGAGGCGCTACGACGCACGCCAGTCAAAACGCCGCATTTCAGGCGTTTGGTGTTGCGCCATCCTCGACGCACCCCCACTGTCGGCTGCCACTTTCGAAGCGCCATCCTGGCAGGTTTGGACTGGTTAGCAGGCCGCTCGACCTATGTTTCTGCTTCTTGTCGAGGCCGACGCTCTGCTCGGACCACCTTGCGAGATCCATGGCTTGGCAGAGACACACGCTTGATGAGATGCTCATGGTCTTAATGGGGCCACGCCGGGGAAACTGGGAAACGGACGCCTCCGTCCTCCATCCGTTGCTCCTAGAATAAAAGCTGCCGCCTGCCCTCCCTCCCCCTTCCACCTCTGCTTTACCTCCCTCTCTCTTTCACGTCAACTCTCTCTCTCTCTCATTCCATTTCGTGGCTTGTTGTTCATCCACCAGAGCGCAAAGCGCCTCCTAGAT